AAAATGCATGGACCTAGGTCCAAGTTTATCATGAAAATAGTTTAGAATAAGAAGAATTTTCAAAAAAAGAGGGAGAAGATCTTTGAAATTTAAGAAGATGGGAGGAGAAGAAGAGGCTATCCTAAAGCATAAAGTAAAAGCTAGGGATAGGAACCATCTAACCAACAAGAAGCCAATACTTGACATTATGAGTCAAGATAGAATTCCCATTCTTTGGATTGAAACCGAGCAAGTAAAGGTACTAGACCTCTTGAGAGAACCAAACTTCAAGTGTATTAAGTCTTCATAAAAAAATTTGGGCAGAGTAACGGTTATATACGGGTGAATTTCAGACTACAAACAAAGTATGTAATCAAAATAACCTGCACACAAAACAAACAAACAACCCAATGTCTTAAGGTAAACCTCAAAAACTCTAGACAAAATATTAATTAAGGTCAAAAGGTCTCCAAAATAGGCCAAGGTCTCTAATCCTAAGTCCAAGAAGTCCAATACTCCATAATGTCAAGGATAATGACCAAACTGTCCAAATATCATTAAAGTTTTTTATGGTTCATATTGATTATTAGGTATCTTAGAAGAGAAAATAAAAGGATCAAGTGAGCAAAAAATAAAAATGACATGAAATGTAATGCTTAAAGTAAATGGTACATAAAGCATAAAAAATAAAAAGGGGCATAAAGTAAAAACAATTTAATAATTAGTGGTTAGTTGGATGACCATCTTGAAACTTGCATTTGGAACTCATTAGAGAATTGGTAGAACTAAAGCCTCCACACAACAAGTTGCATTTGCTTTTTGTCAAGTATATCATCCATTTGGAATCCTCAAAAGTAACATTTAATGATCAACGATGTTTAAGTGATCTGCGTTGACCAAAAGTGTTGTAGATCCATTAGAGGATTGGTAGAACCAAAGCCTCCACGCAATGAATCTCAAGGTTATTGAATCAAAGAGATCAAATTAACATACTTGGGCTTGCAAACATAGGTTTGGGCCACGAATGATCATTTATTTGAATCAGGACAAAATTTAACGCTATGTTAAGCAATCGTAAGTGGACTTATGTAGAAGTCGCACCTATTTTTAGGTCGGTCAATAGCAATCTATGCACCATTTGTTATGAGACATGAGATAGAGATCATGCTCCAATAGAAATTATTGCGATAAGAAAGGGATGAGATGAAGAGGGATGAGAGAGAACATACAAACCACATTTGAATTAAATTTAAATCAAACTATTATTAAAATCATTAGTTGGACTCAACACCATGGATCCAATGATGTTAACAAAGTTCATGATCAAAAATTCAACCCAAGATCAGCCAGAAAATAATCACAAAATAATATTGTATTTAATATATACATTAAAAAAAGGTTTTAGAAATATTTAAAATGGAAATAAGGGATAAAAATATCAACTATGTTCAAATTAATCAAGAAATAAAAATTCAGACCATTGAAAAATCAGAAATGGACTCAAGTATTTTTATAAAATTTTTGGTAATTTTTTAAAGTCAGAAACTATTTTTAAAATTAAAAGAAATGAGTAAAATAAACCAAAAATGATAAAAAAATACCAAAGTCAGAAATAAAAAATAAGTGAGGTCACCAATATTTGTCATAATATCATTGGATCATTCCATATTTTTTTCAGAATTTAAAAATGATGAAAATATTTTTAAACATTTAAAACAAATCAAATAAAGTGAAAATTTATAAAAAAAATACCAAAACACAAAATAAAATTGTGTAAAAATAAAAATCAGAAAGAGAAAAAACAAAAATATTTTTCATAATTTTTTCAGATTTTTTGGACTAAAAATGAATTTTCTATGATTTTTTGAAATTTAAAACAATTAAATATAAAAATCAGAAAAGAAAATAAAAACCAAAAAAGTATGGGCCATCTGATCAATGTCAAAACGCGTTAGTAAACAGATCAAGTGGACCTGGAGCATTGTGCATGTTATGACTTTAGTGGATAATGCATTGACTCATTAATTAAATCAGATTTTTAAAAAAACAAGTGGCGTGCCATCATTGTTTGGAAATGACACGTTGGTCATCTTCAACCTCCAGCCAATGTGAATTGCAAGTCTCCCAGACTGTAAAATCAGAAGCTCGGACCTATGCCATTCGCTTCGTATCTTCAAGACGAAGACAACCACACCTTTGCGACAAATTTATATAAAATGTAGCTCAAGAAATTTGGAAGGAAAGTTTTGAAAAGGGATTTGAAATTTCGTGGTCAAAATAAGTTTCCAGATGAAAATAAGTGTTGCGACTAGAACCATGGAAATGAGGGCATCACAATAATATCAAAGTTTTGAAGAATTGATGAAGGAATCTACCTATTGAAATTGAGTTGCAGAGCTCTGAAACTGGACTTCTATGGAGCAATATAGGGCACGATTCTTGAATGTAATTATATGGTTAGCTTCAGGGAAGATCAAGGAAGGTGAATTGATGGAAAAATTGGATTAAAAAAGGCTTGAAAGCAGATTTCGAAGTAGCCGAATTTTGAGTTATGGAGCAAGTTTGGAAGGGTGATTCTGGCTATCCAAGCTTGAGGAAATGAATGGGGAATGACCCTATATTTATAGGGAATCAAATGGAATGTCCAAGCGTGTGAAATGATGAAGTTTGGAGGGAAATCGTGTGAAGTTGCAAACAAGAAAAGTGTGACTTCTAATTTGATCAAAACTCATCCAAAATGCGCTTTTTTTTGTGCTAATCAATTCTGGAGCTTCACTAAACATGTTTAGAGGAAAAAACGCGTGGAAAATTGTGATTAGAAGCCAAAACAAAGATTTCAATTCTGACTTATGGAGAAACTTCAGTTCCAAGTTACCAAGTTCAATCCAATGGCATTCTCAGCTCAAGGGGTCTTAAGGCATGATTCTTGATGCTTTAGAAAGATGAGGTTACAAGCTTTGCAATGAAAAAAGAATGGAATCAAATGGATGTTTGAGCTGAAAGTTACATTGAGTCAAAGTTGGGAAAAAGAAGTTGACTTTCCATACTTAGAAATATTTCAACTTTTCCTTCAAAAGTGACCTATAATGTTTTGCATCCAAACATGGCCTTCCACTTGGAATTAGATCTTGCCCAAAAAAGATGGCATAAAAAAGACCTCTTAAATGATATTTTGAAACTTGAACCATTCAAAATCTCCAAAAGTTAAGAGAGTTATGAGTTGTTGAAGTTGGCAAAAAATCATGAAGTGACCTATAATCTTTTGTATCGTTAGGGCATCTTCCATCCATTTTCTCACTTTGCATATTAAAGAAGGCATAAATTGCACATCCTCAAGATTATTATGGAAAAATAATGGGCTCAAGATGATAAAAATTGACCAAGTTATGATCATTTGAAGTCACACATGAGAAATTGGGGGTTCATCTAGAGGAATTATAATCTTTCTTCATCATCAAGTTTCTTACACATGAAAAATCCTTGAAACTTTTGAAGTGATTTATTGATAACTCTTTTAAGAGAAGTATGTCTTTATAATCACTCAAAAATACCAAAAGATGAGCAAAATATACTTCTTTTGAGTTCAAAACCCTAGCTCCTAGATCAAGAAAATGCTTTGAGGAACCTTAGCAATTTTGAACCACCTTCTTGTACCAACATTCTTGCTTTGTAAATAGAAGTTATTGGTGATGAAAATTAGAATTCATAGCCACCAAGACCACTTCCATATCTTGAGAATTTAGAGAAATATGCACTTGTGACCAATGGGAACAAGGCCTTGTCCCACCATGACAACTTCTTCAATTAAGCCCTTGCACTTTTGGATCAATATTGATATCTTAGAATGTAGTGAACCAAAATAACCTTGCCATTCCATTTCTTCCAAAACAAATCCAATTGTGAGGTTTGAACTTCTCAATCTTTATTGACTAAGGCATGGAAATAAACTCATGAACCCATGGAGCAACTTGCTAAATTTCATTGCCTTTACCTACATAAGTAACAAGAAAGACAAACCAACATTGCATTTTATTAATTAAAAAAATAAATCATGACAAAAATATTCATGATCAAAAAATAACACAAGTCAAGGTGCTTGATGATTCCTCAAAGAGCAAAGCTAAAGATAGGGAGGGGAACCAAGAATCCTAATGTGATCTTGTTGTGATGGAATCGACATGGTATGCTGAGGGGATCTTAGGGGAAAAAATTGGGGTACAACAATTATTATCTACATTGTCATTAGTGTTACTCATTAAGAGGTTCTTCTTGTCTATTACACATATATCTTTCAACAGTTGTACCACTTCTTTAAATGTTAAGACTTTTACTGACAACTTTCTTTCAAGAACTGTACTTCTATCATCCAAACATATCCCCTTCAACATTTTTCCATATTAATTGTGGGAAACTTTTTTCCATCCAGTCTCATCACAATGATCAAGGCATTTTCTTCAACAACTTGCTCATCCTCCCTCTGAAATGGGGCCTAAGTTACCCCAATGTTACACACAATGTCTGGCACATCTTGGAAAACATATTCTTCATCATATTTGATGACATCTTTGATAATTGGTTCACTCCACCATAATTGAGTGCAAATTATTCCCTAGGAGTCACATGAGTAGTCCTTTATTTTCTCAACTTGAAAATATGGAAGGTAGCTCACATCTTCTATCATGTTGAAACCAAGTTCTGTCACCATTTGTTGAAATCTATGTACTATTTTTCTTTTCACCATTGTGTCTATCATCTGATCCTTATACTTTCTTATGGTGACACTATCATAAGTAGCATTCCATTCTAACTCTTTTCTCTTCAGCTTATGTATGCAGAGATTAACATCTTCAAAAGTGTCTCAATAGTTTGTACAAACCCAACATGAACACCATTGTTCACAGAGATAGATTCTTTATAAGCACATACACTGTTATTAATGTTGTCAGTCACCTTTACTACATGATCCTTTTCATGAGTTCTATTCATTTATTTGGCACAAGTAATTTATTTAATTTCCATATTCAAGTCCCATTTAGAGATGCATTTTTCTCATTCATCATTCCAATGAAATCAACACTTCTATTAATTTGGGTAGTCGTATAATTTGAAATCAATCTATACTTCTTACCATTCGAAGTAAAATACCTTTCATTCACATATTCACCTAGAGTCTTTGCATGATCATGGTTGTTAATAATACCACCATTAGCTCTAGCAATACCAACCTCGGTATCTTCATGTACATAATTTTCATTCTCCTTATGAATTTGAGGTTTTGACATCATGGCATACTGGATGTCTGCCACATCCTTATCATTATCAGGATTTCTCAAGTTTGTTCCTTGGGGATCTTTATCGTGATAATATCTCATAGACCCAAACCTGATTTGAACATTATTCATGTCTCTAATATTGCAGCTATACTTCAATCCACTACTTAAATCTTTATTAACCAGTCTTGAGTCATAATCACTCTTCTTCTTTGGCTTATTATTATGAACCAAAGTGTGTTTTTAAAAATAGTCAGGACCTCCACACTTACCAACAACCTTCACTATAATGATACATTTTTCCTTAAGTCTAAAATCATTCTTAAGAGATGATTCAGACTCCTGAGACAGATGTTGGAATATTTGTTTTGACATATTGGTTTGAATATCCACATTAGCTTTATCAATTTTAAGGTCTTGCATACCCATGAAGTATTCCTTAGATATGACCTTCTTCATAAGAAATCATTTTCCCTTGTTGGTTACACCACCCTTAAAATTGTCGAAGTTCATATTCCTCCTTTGATCACAATTAACCAATTTCCTAAATGTTTTAATTCTTTTATTTGCTCTACTATCAAAAGTGACATGAGCATTCTTTTCTTTAGACCTGTACCAGGTACCCTTATCATTGCAATGTCATTCTTGACTTTATTGGCCTTTTTTTTACTGTATGAGCTAATGAGCTAGTAGTCTTAGCATTATGTTTCTTCTTCTTCATGGATTCCTTAATCTTCAGTAGTTCATAACAATAAGGCCTTGTATGTCCATATTTTCCATAATGGTGACGTATCACAGGCTGTTTCTTGTTACTATAGTGATGAAATGACACATGGTGAGCACGATTCTGAGACATGTGTTATGACATCAAAACCTTAGCCTTCTTTTTAGGTATAACACCTTTCTCATAGGAAATATTCATTTATTTCATGCTTGTCCAAAGATCTTTTCTTTTCATATATCACTAGACATCTCTCCACGCTCCATCGTTCCATAAAGTGAATTTGAGCTAGTTTTCAAATTGCTTTCCAGCTGCATCAAATTATCTATTTTGGAGTTTAGTGATGCAACCTCCTTTTCTACACTTGTAATGGTTAGGGCAAGCTTTTCTGATTCCTTATGAAGTCCACCAATGGTTTTCTTTTGGATGTTTATTATTAAGCATGCTTCTTTCCACTTGGAATGCAAGATCATGAAGGATGTATCAAACTCCTCTTTTGACATGTCTTCAATACTGGATACACTTGCAGATTCAAATATTCCAGAATAAGCAATCACATTGTTGGCAGTTTCTCTCTCACCTTCACTATCAGAATCAGACCAAGTGATGGTTAATCCCTTTTTTGTCTCTTTAGAAAGGTAGGAAATTCTACTTTGATGTGTCCATAGCTTTCACACTCATAGCACTAACTACCCTTTCCACCATTGAAATTGTATTCATTACTTCCCTTGCTTATGGGAATGATGTTGGACCTATTGTCTTGGACATTTATCCTCCACTTTCTGTCCATATACTTCAAGGAATTTTTAAACTTTTTTCCAAGAAGAGCAATAGCATCTGACATGTTCTCCTCTTTATCATCACGACTTTCTTCCTCATGAGTGTTGGAAACAAAGGTTATACCTTTGTTATTCATTTTATCCCTATCAGTAATGGAAATATCAAGGGTTTGTAAAGAACCAATGAGTTCATCAACCTTGATGCTTCTCAAGTTCTGAGCTTCCTCAAGAGTAGTCACCTTCATATTAAAACTCTTATGAATTGATTTTAGAATTTTTCTGTCAAGCTTTTCTTCGAACATCTTTTCTTCTAGGGAAAAGGAAGTGTTGGCAATAATCATTGACTTCCAATATTCATAGTTTGTGCCATCAAAAATATTTGGTTTGTAGACTGATCCCCTTCTTTAATTATATCCATTTGAGCATAATTTTTCTTCCCTAGAGCTCACCCTATAGGCTAGAGTGTCTGCTTTGATGCCAATTGAAATTTTGTCCCTCAGAGGATAGATGTTGTACATGATGTTGGAACAACTAATTCGATAAGTTGCACTTGTATGACAATAATACTTATAGAAAATGATGGAGCTAAAAAATGATAAATAACAGATATTTGGTAACTGATGACTTCTCAACAAATGTACCAATAATGTTGCAGTAATAAAAATATCGATCCACATGGACTACTATTTAACAAGACAAGTATTTTGCAAAGTAAATTAAATACAAAATGAGGGGGGTTCGAGTTTTAAGGAGAAAAGTATTAAAGGTTATTATGACTATAATACTAAAGAGGTTAGGTTTTGTATTGAATCCCATATTTATTTCCTGTTGATGTTCGATATATTACATGAATGATATCGTTGCTATAATTCCACGGCGGATTAACCAAACCATTATACCAAATCCCTTAGTGTATAGCTCACTAATATATACTCGGAGTTTCCTATTCTTAGTCCATCAACGTAAGTAATATTAGGCGGTGCAATAGTATGTAAATTCATAAGCCGCTACTCGGGGTCTCATATTCCTATTCAACCGACATAAGTATGACAATTTCCCTAGGTCCAACATATAGACTAATGGTCAGTATTCCCTATGTGCCCAAAATCAGATTAAAAAAACATCTCACATAAAAAATCATTACAAACAAGAAGCAATTGAATAGAAGTATAACTTAAATTATTCATGCAATAACAAATCAAGCATATGTACTAACAATAATTAAAATAGATTCATCGTACAAAACCTAATCTAAAGAGATTTAGGTACTCATAATGAATAACTTACAATACCAAATAATAATAAGAGGTTTCCATATGTTATACCATGAAGAACTGGCCTCCAATGGCTTCAAATATGCTCCAAATATGAATCCTGGTGTTGTAAATCGTCCCCTTAAGTGTGAAATCGCAGAACTGATACGTGAAAATTGTAGTTTTTTTGTATATGTTTTGTTGCACTTATTAATTCTTTTTGTTAATATCTTTTGAATAAACCCCAATTTGTTTGCAAGTATGTATAATATGTGTATCATTGTGTTTTTATGTAATTAATGTATCGTTTGGTAGTTTTTCATTCATATTTTAGGTATTGGTGCATGTTTGGAGCATTGAGCAATAAAGTGTCGAAGACACGACTCCAAATACGCGTGTTTAGAAGAAAATAATCATTGAGCCCGCTAAGCCCATGTTGTAGCACACTTAAAGATTTTTTCATTTGGCAGGGGCTGTTTTGCTGAGCTGGCTCAGCTCACTTAGCGGGGTTAAGGAGGTTTCACGTGTAATTTAAGTGGGAGCATGCTTAGTGGGGTTAGCCCACTTAGCAGGGTCTGCTTTTTTCAGTTTTGTATAAATAGATTCTTTCATAGTTTTAGGGTATGTTTTGGGGAATTTTTTTCTCCCAATTCATCACCAATCATTCTATGGCAGAGAGAGATAAAAAACAATAATGAAGCTTGCATATGGATGATCCGGAGACAGAGTTCTCATCAATCAAAGCTGACAACCCGTGAGATGTTTAGTTTTCCTTCATTTCTTCTCTATGTATTTCTCTTTTTGTTGGTTTTTTTTTTGTATTTTTACTCTTAACATATCTATATTTATCGCTCATGGCATTGTATAAAACTTGCTTTATAATTCAATCTTGATTCTTTCCTTGATCTTTTTTGCATTTATGTTTGGATTTGTGTTATAGAGATAGACCTCACAAATCTTGATTATGGAAGGAAATCTATTAGTTTCTAGATTCTAGAGATAGGTTTAGAGCTAATAATCACTTGGGTATCTAAACTTAATGCCTTTGTATTGTTATTTCGCGCGAGAAATCACTGACGCAAGAATACGATTGATCTCACAACTTCGTGCTAGACATAACCTCAGTTATGTTGTGTCTCGTAGGTGTTGCAGAAATGGACATTACTGTGAGAGATACATGATTATTTTGAAGAGTTTGGTAGGTTGAGTACAACTGATCGATAGATTTAAGTTTGTGATGAGTAGTTTAAATTCATGCTTGATAAGTTTATCCTCTCTTAAGAATGTATTTAGTTTCTTGTTCGTACCTTTTTACTTTAATCAATTTAAACCAAGCTTTAAAACATAGAAAATGTTGAATCGAATTGTTGTACCCCAAAATTTTCCCTCTTAGTTTCTTCAAGATATCTCCTTATGCTCCTAGGGTTTTAAATTGTTCAAGAATACTTAAGGGTTTGAAGCATCTCTCCTTAGTAGGGGTCTACAACTAGGGTTTCACTTTTCTCAAGGAAATTTGAGATTATAATGCCTCAAGTGGATTTCAAGGTTCCTTGTATGTCTCAAGGAATGCTCATGCCAAATTTTAAGCCTTGAATCACAAGTTTGCTCAGTCAATTGCTCAGATGACTAAAAATCAACTCTATTGGACAAAAAGTCAATTGTGGTCAACATACAATAAAACTTCAAGATTTTTGGTCGGCATCAATATTTTGAAGTCACATTCATCATTTGATCAAGTGTTGATCATGATTCATCAAGAAAACTCAAGATTCATCAAAAGTCAAAAATTACCAAATTAGGATTTTCTTAAGGAGAAGTCAATTGAACTTTGACCAAGCATAACTTTCACATGCTTCATCGGATTTTTATCAAAAAAATCTCATGTTGAAAGAAATTCAATTCTCTACAACTTTGTCTCTCAATCTCAAGTCTAAAAAATACTTCATTCAAGAGATATGAGCCAATACATTATAGATCATTTCAAAAGTCAACAAAAAGACACTTTTTGTCAAGGCAACTTATGTCAAGATAAAATCTTCAAATAAAAAAATGATCAACATAGAGATTATATAGGACATCTTATGCTTTCCAAAAAGTCCTAGATCACCTTTATATGATAAAAATTGAGAGAGTTATGATTGGTGCAAGTTGGGCAATTTTGAGAAAATGCATGAAACCAAAATTAATCAAACTTGAACTTTTAGGCTAATGGGCTTATGTTTCAAGGTCCACACGTGTATTAAGCCTCATAGTGAACATTTGACCCTATTCATACACCCCTTTGATCTTTATTCCATTTATTTTTTATTTTATTTATTTTAATTTAAAATAAATTAAATAATATCAAGGCTTTCATACAAAGGTCCAAACCCACTTCTT